TATGTTTAAATAATATATTTTAATGTATTTATATTAATACTTTAATATCATATAATATACTATTATTCTTGAAGGTAGCCTTCGTATCTCTTGAGAAAAATAAAGCTGCCAATATAAATAGATTTCTTAATCTCTTACGAAAATGATCAGAATTGTTTATCATCGAGTTTGATGGGCTTTGGATTGTGAAGCATAAAAAAGATTACTTTTTTTTATTAGCTTATTTCAAAATTTAGGAGTCAAAACAATCTCTGGAAGTGAAAATAAATAAAAAATTTCAACATTTTCAAAAAATATGAATGTACCGTTATTAAAAGTATAAAATATATCATAAAACTTTCTTATATGAAATATTTTTCCGTATATCTCATAATTTCAAAAATATTCTCTGAAAACGAAAAATTATTTTCGAGGAGTTGTTTCGACTCTTCAATCTTAAAATAAGCAGCAGATAAAAAAATATGAGTTTAATATTTTTTTATGCTTTACAACTCTACAATACTTAAAGCCTATCAAAATTGGTATATTCCGACAACTGTATATTATGAATTTAACGGATCTAAATTAAAGATATAGATTCATGAAGAAACTCTTCCTCTACTTTAGTAATCATAAAATATCTGTATGAATTATTCAGCATTTTTTTTAAACATGATGATATCTGTAATGACCAAGTAATCACATCTCTATTCATGCATCTAATGCGCGGATTCAAATTTCGATTAACGTTCACACACCATGCTCCGGATTCAGTCTGGCAAATAATCTCCGTGCGAACGACGGCTGTCATTCTCACTCGCCATTGGAAACTACCATTCGCGGCCGTTCACGGCTTCTTTTTTAAGCTTAAGTAATTACGTAATATCTTGCTGTCGTTGACATTTTCTAATTCGCTCGACGTTAAAAGCTTCGCGGGATATTGATAGTTCGGTTTGCACGTGAACGTTTTCGGGAAAATCTTTTCTTTCGATGAGAACAGACGCTGCGGAATTCGATGGAGAATTTAATCCAGTCCCAAACGGAATTGAGAGAGAAAAAGATTGAGAGAGAGGAAAAGAATAAGATAGAGAAAGATAGAGAAAGATAAAAGGAGAAGAGAGAGGTCGGCAGAAGAACTGCGCGTCTGTAATTTCTTTTGGCGGATCATTTTTTAAGCTCCTTTGGGACGAATAGTTAGAGAGGGAAAGGGCGACGAATGCAGAGGTGGGCAATCGGTCGTTTGCTCCCTGAGGAAAATGCCGAAGTCGAAGTTGCCAGAAGGATAGTATTATTTAAATTGGATTCCGCGATTCTCCGCGCGACTTCGATCTACCATCCGCACTCGAACTTCGTCACTTTTTCGTTCCCACGAGTTTACGCGCCGCTTATTAAAATCCCTCATGGCAGGGATGGAGACGATTTCAGAGAGACATTGGGGAAGTGCAGCCGCCAGTATCTTAAAGTTTACTCTTTATCTGAAACTTTGTGTTGCGAGAAGTCTAAAAGATGTCAAAAAGATGTCATAATCTTTTAGCGAGCTTTAAAAGGATTTTTATATATTTTTCTATTTATCAAATCAGAAAAAAATTACCTTTTTAGCTTCCAGTCTTTCATACAAAAATTATTTTATTGATAAAAAAAGCTATTAATCAATCATGTTTAATAAAAACTTAAATATCTATTACAAAAAATAAAAATAGTTTTAAAAAATTTGTGTGGAACTCTCATCAATCTGATTAAGTGTGCATTGAAACGCATGAGCTCCAAAAATGTTTACTAT